AAAAAAAAAATTGGTGTATGATTTACTAAACCTCAAGGGAGGTATTGATAATTACAAATATGAAAAGAGAAGAAATATAAGCAAACAGGTAGGATGGATACATATTGTTGGTCTGAGGCATGGTTCTTGTTGTTGAAATAAGATGGTGCAGCTGAGGTTCCACCCAGTGTAGAGTTGAATGGGAATGGGAGAAGACCTTTGAAGCCATCGTCTATCCATCTAACCTCTTTTATGTAGTCAGGAACAAGAAAAGATGATGGGTACCGGTGCCATTCACTTCCAACACACAGCACAGCACCTATATTATGTGTACAATCTTACAAAAGTGAGATATATGCTTGCAAACATAAATTCAGCAAACAACAGAACCTTCTGGGGCAAGCGCACTGTCCCAAAGTGAAACTTTAAATTACTACTTGAATCACCATCTAAAATAGCACACAAAATACTATTTTAGAATGTTATGCGTAACAAATTATTGGACAAAATAAAAAATATATTCAGATCCTAAAAAAATAAAATTCACTTAATAAGAAAATGTATAGCCTCAACAATTCTGAACATGATGTGAAAACAAGAATCCTCTAGCTCTAACCTTAATAATGATGGTACAAATACTAGAGAACTTATTAACACCACATGACCATACAAACTGGAGCAATTATTAAAAAAAAAAAAAAAAAAAGTCTATGGTTGGGCCAACACATGCACCGATGGGACGTGCAAGTTTACGTAAGATATTGTTTGAAAAAATGCATTTTAGCAAAGGTCAGAAAAGCAGTGTAATCGCATAAGAAGAATATTGACAGAAACCGACTCGACTGCCCTAACAAGCTGGGGACAACAACCAACTTCATCTTACTGTTTTCATACAATAGTGCTAAATATTTAACCGTTAGAAGAATAGATACAGCCTAATGGAAGCATCCACTTCATGAGCGTGTAAGTGAGCCCGTAGTCACAAATCCGAAACTAACACTTCTTAACAAATCCTAATCTATCCTTTTCACTGTTTACTTTAAAATGTTCTTGAATTATGATACGAACTTTTATTATTTATTTATTGCTATGTTTGGTAAAACTAACTGATAAGCTAGTTGATTGCTTATAAGTGATTTTCGAGCTTATAGCTTATAGCTTAAAAGATAGCATATTATAAAAGTGTTTGGTAAAATTAGTTGATAAGCTAAGCTAGCTGAAATAAAAATTTCAACGAGCTTATTTGAAAAGCTTACCAAAGAAGCTTATGAGATAAGCTTTGAGCTTTTTAAAAATGCTCGTCCTACCCAACAAAACTTATTTGAATACGGGAAGCTTATAAGTTGACCAAATAAGCTATAAGCTAGCTTACTTGGTTACCAAACATAGCCTGTCTGTTGAGTTAACACATAAAAGGCCATTTATTTTCCTTTCAATCACATCTATGTGTAAAAAAATGTGATGCTACAGCATGGGAAACGAAGAAAACACCAAATTCGCTATTATGTTTTCGCTATCAGTTGACAGTGTGCACGTATAGAGAGAATCTGAAGACAGATAAAAGATGCACTGGAAGAGGGAAAATATTTACACACATAGTCCATAGATATCCTAAGATATGTATAGTAAGATAATGTGCAAAAATAGTAAGTCACCTTCTACTGCATCATCATGGTGTTCCAAATGCTTGTAAATCTCCAATGGAGCTGAATAACCATTTATTAATGAAAATGTTCTGGAGTGGGATGCACATAAAATAAGTCCAAGAGCCAGAGGTCGCAGTGCTTTTGCAATCTATACAGTTGAAGGATGAAATTCAATCCCATACTTATGCGCCAACAAGATATTGATTCATGTATAAATCTTACCACAACGAGAATAGAACCATCATTAGGATTGTATTTGTCCCGGAAAAAATCAGGAAAGCTCTCAATGACAGCTGAAGCAGCAACACAAATAAGCGGATATATTGGATAAAGGAATCTGCAAAATTATAGGATGAGAATCAGTTTTACCATCTCGTCAGTTACTTGTTTTTAGTCAAACTCAAGTTTGATACAATCTCTTTCCAGGATGAGTACCAAAGAAGTTCAATTAACAGTCCGGTTACAGTTACTGTGTTATATTCAATTTGATATCAAAGTATCAAGAAACTTGATACTAGGTAAAATCCATCTAATTTCGTAATGAATTTGCATGTAACTTTCCTAGCCAAAACACTCATACATGTATTTTAACAATTCTGAGAAGGCATTAAGATAGAAATCAGCCCAGTGGGTACATTGCATCCCCACACAAAGTGTCAGTGAACCAGAAAAGAACATTTATTATATGTCTAATTGTCAGTCCATATCAAATTTGTTCATACAGCACTTTTGCAAATTATAGAATACCACAAATTAAAAATATAAATGTTACAACAAGCTGAAACAGTGGATGGATATCAAAGTTCATCCTCAGATCAAAGGGAGGAAGAAGAATAAACTTTACCTCTCTTCCTTGTGCGGCTGCAAAGACATGAAAGCTAGCCAGATATAGATGGGTGAGATGATGACCAACAAGTCTGGAACATACTTCTTCGTTGCAATTGGCAGGATTACAATGAAAAGGAGAGCAAGGACGAAACAAAAGTTGAAATTATTGAAGCCATTTTTCAGGTAAAACAGTGGGCCTTCAGTGCCATACAAATGACTTTCTCCACCACCTGATACATTATATATCAATAAATTGAGAACTGATGATGTCCACTTTCCATAGTAGAAGTAGTCAACAACACCCGATAGTGCCTGGAGAATTGGACAAAATAACACAACATTAGATCAGGAAAAAAATCCAAGTTGCAGTTGGTGGGATATAATCATGGCTTCAACTGGAAGGCCTGAATGAAAAAATTTAGTAACAGTTGCATAAGTTTGAATTGTTGGAAATTTTAACTTACCAAAAGAGCAAGAGATGTTACCACGCCAGACAAAAATGCATGTTTAAATCTTCTAACTAAGGAGAAAACTGTAACAGGAAGGAATGCCAAGATTGAGAATGGCCAACCCAGAATGACTCCAGTGGCAGCAACAGCAACAGCAGCTGCAGGCTTCTCAAAAAGAGAAAGTGCGCATGAAAGGGACATAGCATACATAGAGAATGAACTTGGCAAGAAACCTGCGTGTGAAGCAACATTGAAAGTTAAGGAGAATGTTGATGAGAATTAAGGCTAATACTCTAGTTTGACATGCATTCCTTGGGTGGAATAAGATTCAGAACTCTTACGTATAAAATTTTCCTTCACGCTTCTAAGTAGCTGATTCCACAGAACTATGCGCTAATAAACGAGTAAGAAACGTAAAGGCTTACTTACTGGTGCTAGCAAAGAAACAACCACTGGCCAAGCATAGCATTGCAAGTGTATACGAAGCAAGGCGTTTCCCAAATTTCCTAGAAAGTGCTACAACGAGAGCAGCATCTGAAATGACAGACAAGGAGCCGAGAAATATCCTCACAGCATAGAATACCCTCACCTGAGATTTTATAGGCATAAAGGATTAGAAATTAGAAGGGGGCAAAAAAAAGATTGCCTCTAATAGAGTGGAATACTAAAGCAGCGGAATCCAAAGATTATTTACTTTTTCTTCGCCAAACCACCAAGAAGCAGGCCAGCCAACTATGTTGTGGAATAGAAGATACAAATATGAGCGCAGTGCAAACTGGGAGCTGCAAGGTACAAATAAATGGCATTGATAAAAGATTACCGTCAATGGATGTGCTTTTGGTGACGATAAGATTGATCTATTTGTCATGCCTTACTAATCTATATCATCAAAAGTAATACACAGATCTAAATCTAGAACAGAAAAAGGTTAAAATCGATGAATAAAAAACCATGCAACCCGATGTAAACAGTCATTCATTCCATATATCTAATAGAAACTTTGCAAATTACTACACCGGTATAGCCAGTTTGTGCATATCAAATCTCACAACTAACCTCAAGAGGAAAAACAGAAATCAATTGCTACTGGGATAGGGATACGCACGCAGATACCAATGTTTCAATGTGACGAAGATACCTTGCAAGATTTCAATTATTAGCAATTTTTAATTTTTATCTGCACATCATTTCTCCTCATCGTTCTAACTCCACAGCAGTCTACTTACATACAAACATAACATATCATCATTAAGTAAAATTCACCAAAATTATCCTAACAAATCATCCACAAAGCCAAAGCATCATCTGATCTTTCGCTCAAGCCCCTCATACAAAATTACCCTGTATTCCAAGCCATATCTTTCTATTTCCCTAAAAAAACATCAAATCTGTACCGATCAAACAATATATACAATATGCGTACAGTAGAACACAGCTACCTGTATTCCCAGGTCTGAAAACCGGACTTGTAGAGGAGGAAATGAAGAGGCTCCCAGTAATTGAAGACCTCATCGCAGTCGTGTATTATGTTGGATGAGGCGCTCATGTAGCGTAGCATTCCCAGCGACACCAACGGCAGGAACCACCCTAATCCACGGTCGAGTTCGGCGGCCGGATTTTCCGGCTTGTCGAGCTTGGAATACTGAGAAGGGGACGATGATGACGTCGTGTGGAGATCCATCGGCGACGAGCGCCGCTGCCTTGTCGTCAGAGCCATCTGCCTGCTTGCTTTTCAGTCTATCGGAATTTGGTTTCGAGTTGGAGAAATTTTGAAATTAATGCTTTTACGCTGGTCGACTGTATGGGCCTTTTTTACCTCTTGCAATTTACCAATAAAAAAAAAATAAAAAAACTATGTGGACAAAAAAAAAAAAAAAAA